TGAACTTTATTACTTATTGGTTTAACTACTAAAAAAAATGTGCACCTGTCCCTGTAATATAGAATGTAGGACACGGGACCCTTCTGACGATAGGCTAGCTCAGGCCCATTTATCACATTCAAATTATTTCTTCATTAATGCTCTCGATATTAAAATAAACGCAGGGTTAGGTTACTTCTACCTGTAGGCCTTGCTAAAACACTTTCATTAACATTGACACCGCCATTTTGAAATCCAAATGATGCATTCACACTATTCAGAGCTTTAACAGTATTATCATCCTCCCGATGACGAAGCCTTATTGGCAGCGGGATGCTTTCAGTGATCGTTTTATCAATTCGTCTATAGATGGTTTTTAACCGCTTCACATTTCGTGGTCATGGAATCATTTTCAAATTAACAGAAAGTTGAGAAAGAACTAAAAGGAATGGTGGTGGATTTAAGTTGCATTCTGGCACAAAAAGTAAAAATAAATCATGATCAAATTCGATGATAATATTATGTCTTGATAACAAAGATAAAATGACGGTTAAACGCATGGCAACATTTCGCGGGATTTTTTCTCGAAAATCTCGGAAGATCTCAGAGTCGACGTCGTATTTAAATCCATTTAAATACTATAATTTCAGTTCGCAAAAACCTGCATCTTCACATTTACGTCTATGTATCATTACTTTCAATATAATTTTCATGTCAGTCTAAGTTAACGGAAATCCACGATTTCAAGTCCGGAAATATGCGAGTAATAGTATTTTGTTAGATTTAGGAGGTAACAATTGTACCGTACGGTACACGGTACGACTTTTGTTAGTCGTTATAACAGGCTAAGAATACTAAGTATTCTATTTTTATACAGGCTAAGTATGCTTTTTATCTTTTTATAGTTAAGTTGTTGTGTTTTATTTGTATGATCACAAATTTTAAGTCAATTCAATTGAACATCGAAATTGAAATATGAATAGCTGGCTCTGGAAACTTTGATATTAATCTATTGTAGGTTAACATAATATGAGTATGAAAAGATAATTGGGGCTATTAATGAAGGGGGCAATTGCCAGAGCCATATATAGAGAGAGTCTGACCAACTACGTCACGAGGCGCCATCTTGTTACCCTCTCTTAGCTACAAGACGGCGAAATTAATTCCAGGGAGGCACCGCCCCACTTTCCTCTGCATTCCTGGCCTTTTTGTACGTATCATCAGACCATTTGCATCCTCTTCTCGATTGTTTTGCCATCTTGACCAACTGATCAGCATTGAAGACCTTCTTTAATTTTCTTTGAAAGCTGTTCTTTTGATGGCTTTTCTTTTTAGCATCTGTTCATTGCGCAGTTTTGTCCGTAAAGAAATAACTTCCTGCTCTAATGATTGTATCCTCTTTGTTCTCTATATACGGCTCTGACAATTGCCATGATATGTCTTATTGGTCTGTAGCCTTATATCTGATAAAAAGTGTTACCTCCCTTTAATCAGTCAGTCCACTTCATACCTATCACATGATACAGCACATGTCAGTTGTTGTTACCGCCATTTTGCTCATATACTTCTATTCAATAAAACCCAGATTATATCCTGATATTAATGTCGTCTAATCATAACATGGTGTCAGAAGTGTGTCTACACTACAAGTTCTTGTCATGGATACGTTGAAGCCGCTAAGTGGTTTAGAATTAAAGGGAAAGTTGACTGAAAACTGGAAAAGATTTCTACAAAGGTTTGATCTTTATTTGACATTTTGATAGCCACAAGAGTCAAGAGCTGATACCAAGTCTGAAAAAAGGCTGAGGATATTTGGCACGGCATGGTAAATAATTATTTGCCACAGGTTTTCATTATTTGCCACTTGTCTTCATAAATGATGAAATAAACGATATTTTTACACGAAGATGGACGTCTTTCGATTATTTTAACACATTTGGATGAATAACGGAGACATAATTTAATCAAACGGAAGCAATTATGACATCATTAAATTACGAAAATAAACAGCATATATTGATCATAAACAATGTAAATAGTAGTCAAATGAGTAGTCACGGTATTGATTCAAGTAAAAAAGACCTACTGTACCTATAAAATAGTGTATCATTAACAAATGAGAATACATCGATAAGCAATAATTACAGTGGTGTAACCTATTTTCGGGATATAAGGATCAACACTGAATT